CCCAGGGTCCTGGGATCGAGCCCCACATCGGGCTCCCTGCTCGGCGGGAAGCCTGCTTCTCCCTCTCCCACTCCCCCTGCTTGGGTTCCCTCCCTCACTGTGTCTCTCTCTGTCAAATAAATAAATAAAATCTTTAAAAAAAAAATGTTTATCCAAATTCCATATATTTCAACCCACACTCTATTTTCTGCTAGGCCAACCTATCCTACTGGACTCAGCTTTAGTGACACTTTGTCTGGAAAGTTTCCTTAACCACCCATCTATAAGGATCTCTTGCCCTCTTCCCTCTGCCTTTGACTCCAAATACGGTTATTGTTTACTATCTATTCTTCTTTCATAAGGTCTCTTTTATCTATCTTCCCTTTCTTTTCCCTTTGCTATTCCCTACTATTTTCTTAAGCCATACCACATTACTTGCTGAACTTCATTCAGTTGTGTCTTAAGTGTATCTCCTGTAACGGGTCCTTCCTGCATAATAAAATTACTAGATAAATCTTTCTAAGAAGAGCCTTTCATCAGGTAACCTCCCTTTTCAAAATGTTCAGAGGCTGTCTCTTGCTAAGATAATTGTAATGGCCAAATTCTGATAGTGAATGAGGATATTATTAATGGGCTTCAATCAGAACTATGCAAGCAAACAGGACTTCTAGCTAACTCACTCATTCTCACCTCTGTGCTTCTCATATTTTCCCATGGAAATATTCCTGAGAGTGGACTCAAAACAGAACACTCAAGCTTAAATTTCTTTTAAGTAACATATGGAAAATTCATGATATTCTGACATTCTGGTAAAAAATATATATATACCTATGGTTGTCTTAATGTAAACACAATATCTTAAGTCATAACCTTTTCACATGAACAAAAATTCAAAACATCTTACCCAACATCTTAGAGCAAAACTGACCTCCAGGAAGTCTTTCTATCAGGGCACAACTCCTGAAAACCTCATTGTCGTGTAGTCCATGAAAATGAAGTGAATGATGCTCCCTATAGTTGAGTTATCATTTCTTGCATAAACTCAACTCACTGCCCACCCATAAAAGCCTTCCAGATAGCTCCTTCAGAACTCCATTTCCATGTCAACAATAATAAACCTACCTTCTCCCTTCTTGTTTTCCTTAACACTATTCAGTCTTTACCATCCAGGTCCATTTGCTCTGGTTGCTGTATAAAATACAAGTCACCCAATTAAGCTTGAATTTCAGAAAAGCAAGGAATGATTCTTTAGTATGTCCCATGCAATTTTTGGATTAAAACTTAAGTAGGCATCTTGTATTTTGCTTGCTAAATCTGGCAATCCTTACTGTAAAGCCATTCCTGACCCCTCTCCCCATAGCATCAAGGCTTTGAGGTCCTTCTGAATTTCCAGCACAAATCACCTGTACCTCCATTTGACACCCTATTTTGCACGAGTTTCTATCCATATACTCCATATTTTTATATCCATATACTCCACTTCCCAGGTTTGAAAGCTTCTTGAGAATGAGGATAACTATTATATTTCTTTGTAATTCCATAGTGCCTCACAGAAACTCCTGCCCATCAGTGGTGCTCATAAATACTTGTTAATTGAGAGATTGACTTAAAATCAATGAGCAAGCTAGCCAACAATGATTTATTAAGCAATAACCTCCTTTTCCACCCAGACCTGTGCTGTGAATTTTTTCATAGATGAGTAAGATGTAGCATTTGCCTTCAAAGAGCCTATAGTTTTGTAAACAAAGATTACACATCAAAACCCAGTAGTGACTGACCTTAGACAGTATAGAATCACATATAACAGTATATAATCAAGATTGTGTAGTACAGCCAACTAAGGGCAATGGGAGATCAATGTGGGCAGCACCGCTAAGAAACAGAAACCCTGAGGAGGGAGGATCTGAATTGGGATTGAAATTTTGGCAAGAATTTAGATGAGAGGAGGGGATTAGGAAAGGCAATGCCACGTGGGGAAAGTTTGGGCAGCTGTACCAAGTGAACAAGAAACCCTTCTTCACTGGAGAGCGTGCCTTTGTTGTAGGGAAAGAGTCAAGATGTGCTTGGACTTTGGTTGCAAGTGGTTTTAAGGAGCTCCCTAGGATTCAGAGCAACTATATGAGTGAGAATCTATGCAATGGCTTCTACTGGGTATATATTCATGCCATGGAGAGTCATGGGCCTCAATAAAAACAATGTAAGGATTCTCTTAAGTAATCGCCCACAGAGGTCAATTGAGTTTTGTCCCCAAACCACCTAGGAGAGGAAAGAACAAACGTTTTATCAGTCATGGTTATACATTACACATAGGGGTCTAAAGTGTTGGTCCTTGACAACCTTTACATCTTCTGCCTTCATTAACCTATCAAGTATAATAGAGCAGTGGCCTTACTAAAAATTATTGAATTTCATTTCCAAGAAACCGAAGACAGATGTTGAGGAGTGTTCTTTTCAGTAGAAATTCATGTTCTTCTACAGTGCTATTTTAATCTGTTACTGCTCTATGAGATAGAGAATCTTATTTTATTTTTATTTTCGGGCTGGCCCTCCCTAATAAAGTTGGTGTCTCTAACGTGCTCCTAATATGTGCTTAATTTTTCAAAATATTTTGGATACCATATTGCTTTCTCTTATAAAAAAAAAAAAAAGGCACCCACCTACAAAACCTAGCTGTTTTGAGTTTTATTCTTCATGGAATTAAATGTATTAAGCCACCAAATGCTTCTCTCTGACAGAAACTGTGATTCACACTAAGCATCCATGTAAAGACCTGCTTAGACCTTTATAAGTGACACAATTTTATTAACTAAATAAACAAATAAGACAAAGAAATATGGTTTCAGCCTTCTAAAATTCCAAAGGCATCCAATGAAATCTCTCAAAGTAGGTGTTAGCAGGACTGTTACGCAAAAGGCAAATTGTGTTGCTTATTTTAAAGGAAATAAGCTAAACAGGGAGAAAAATTCTCTTAGAGTGACCCTCTGGATGTGTTAGTTTGAACCATATACAATATGGCAATATTTGATCTTTGCATGTGGTTCACTGATATGCAAGTATGTCCAGCCTTGACACACTGAACCTCATCCTAAAAGTAGAAATAGAAAAAGACCTCTTGGCAATCTTGATATTGATTGATTTACTGCATTTTTATCTGGAGGCCACATGTGACTTTAGCCTCTGGGTGCCAGTTTCATTTGCATAATTGGTGGTGGGGTGGGTGGACTCTTAGCTAAATGATCTTTTAGGACCCTCTGAATCTAGCATTCTGTAGCTCTAAAACATATGGGTGTTAAATCTGTTTCCTGTTAGCCAACAAAAGATGGATTTGTCAACAATGCCCCAAATTAATCTTCTGGGAATTCCTGTCTTCCCAAGGTACTCACCCTTCCTTGGGTTACCATAATGATCAGAAGCCCCTGCCAAAAGAGAACCATTACCCGTGAGATTCAACATGTTAGGGCATCGCCATTTGTTTATATTTTTACGCAAGTTAGTGCACAGTATACCTATCATTTCTCTTCCATTTTTCTTAATTTATTGATAATCAACAATGGTGAGAAGATTTCACTTCCTTATCTCCATCTGGTCCTCTCTTGTCCTGGTGACAACCAGCACTGATGAGATGCCTTCCCAAGTTACCTTGGCGGGAGGCCTCTTGACAGAGACAGGGAAAAATGAAATAGGGAGGGGGAGTGAAGGATGAGGGAGATCACTCACTGAACTCCTACACTTCCTTGGCAAGGTGGACACCCAAACCGGGTTCCGCAGAGGAAACGAGAGCCTTATAAGATCTCAGATCTAGCTTTATGGTGTGTGGAAAGAAGTTGCAACAAGAAAGTGCACTCGGGGATAAAGAGGAAGCAGAAACATAGATTCTTGGAGGATGCATCCACTTGAGAATATCCTGATGGTTCTCTGCTTGTCCCTGACTGAATCCATGGCCACTCAGGCCAAAGCAGCAAAGGGCACCTCCTGAATCATACTTATGTCCAGTAGACTTACATACGCATGTACTCGGATGAACCTATCTCTCTGCTAATTTTGTCTGATTTTGCTTCTTCCATGTCCTTTCTGTCTCTCCTCCCTGTCCTGCTGGATCTTAATTCCTCTGACTTTCCTTTCTTTCTCTCACTCCCTTTCTCTCACTTTTTATCTAACCTGCTATAATGTGTCATTTATGTCCTCTGTAATAAGGAATATGCACTTGAGAGTCCTGTTTCGATCTCTCTTTCACTTATATTTTGCGAAGCCATGTCCCTGGCAATATTCATTCTGAAAGAGGTTGTAACTGTTACTTAGATGAAAAGAAGCATTAAGAGGAAACTCAGAAAATGAAAGATACTAATCTCAAGTCTTTTATTTTAGCCTACAAGGAAAAAATGAAGGAGCTGTCCATGCTGTCACTGATCTGCTCTTGTTTTTACCCGGAACCTCGCAACATCAACATCTATACTTATGATGGTGAGTTGCCTACAATAGAAATGCTCCTGCTAACATCATTTGGAAAAGCTTAGATACACTTGTTTCTCTCTCACAGCTCCTGATAGAATTAAATCAATATTTTGTAGATCTCACTACTGACTTGTTGTGTCTAGCTGTTTGGTCTTATTGATTGCCTATGCTCAAAACAGTTTGAGGGTTTCTTGTTTTGTTTTGTTTTGTTTCGTTTAAGTAAACTCTAACCCCAACATCAGGCTCAAACTCACAACACTGAGATCAAGAGTCACACATTTGGAGCGCCTGGGTGGCTCAGTCGGTTAAGCGCCAGACTCTTGATTTTGGCTCAGGTCATGATCTCAGGGTCGTGAGATCCAGCCCCATGTCGGTCTCCACACTCAGCAGGGAGTCCGCTTGAGATTCTCTCTCTCTCCCCCTCTCCCTCTGCCCTTTGCCCCCCATGTGCTCTCTCTCTCTAAAATAATAAATAAATAAATAAATCTTTTTAAAAGAAAGAGCCACATGTCCAACAACTGAGCAAGTCAGGTGCCCCTAAAAGAGTTTGAGTTTGATGCTAACAACAGCACATTAATATCTCTTAAGAAACAGAGCTAGATGGTTGTTAGAAGCCACATCCAGCATATCAACATTGACAACATGTCTAAAGCTTTTCTTTGCAAATAATATAATATGCTAAGCTTTAGTTAGACCAAACAGTAATTTGCAAGAAAATGCTTTATACTTAGGAAACTCAAAAGAAAAAAATCAACAACCATCACTGTTTCCCCCTTATTCTAGTCTTCATAAAGTTCCCATATTTTGAGTATGCATGTCAACAAGCTAACAAGTTCCCATGATAAAAGTGACTTATGACTGAGGCCCCAGATAAAGAGAACTAAAAAAAAAAAAAAAAAGCCTAAAGAATTGGCATGACTATGAACTTCACTGTAGTGCAACACTTTCCGTTGGATTTATCCAAGTTCATTCTACTTAGTTTGCTTTTCTTCCTGGCTCTGCCACTATCTGCCTGACCTCAGGCAAGTAACTTAGATTTTCTGAGGCTTATTTAACTCTCGTATCTTCCTCGCACAGTTGGTGTAGGGTTTAAATGGTCTAATGCAAGTCAAATGCTTAGCACCAAGCCTGACCGTTTGTAAGCCCTCAAAAATGCTAGCTATCATTGCCAATGATATCACCCTCACTTAATTCAGTCAGTGTAATTAAAATGTTTGAAAGAGTTCTGTGTGTAGCAGTCAGAGCTGAGGTATATTTTGCTTATAGACTGTCAGCTTATCATGGTTTTTTTCCATATGTGTAAAGACATACATTAAAGACCAGCTGAAGGCGTCTGTGGCACTTAACCCCTTCGGTGCCTTTAAAGCCTAGCCCAGGACTCAGAGGCTCTTTCCTTCCCAAGTTACGCTAACACAGCACAAGTGTCATAAACGCTAATTAACCCTTTCACAAGGCAATGTCTTTCAGGGGAAAGGGTTTCAGTTTCCAACCAAAACTTTCATTAGAATGCAGGCTCAGTGCCCACTTTGTGTAGGTTCATTCAGTCAACAGATAAACCGGACAGATGCTTCCTTGGCTAGATACAGCTGTGACCAGTAATCCAGCCACGTTCCTCCTGGAATTCTAATATCTTACTATGTGTTGTCACAGAGGCTCCAAAGATAAATACAGAACAGGCCTCTCCTTGGAGGAACTTAGAGCCAACAAGAAGAAACATACATACAATATACAAATAATCAGTAAGCAGACCGCAGTGTGATTAAGGGCTAAACTCGAGGTGACACAAAATGTATTAGGAAGACAGGGAAAACAGTGACAGGTTCTACAGCTTTAGGGATTGAAGACAAGGGAAAAAAGAAGTCAGAAGTTATGGATAAGCTGAGTCTTAGAAGCTAAATAGATAAATTCAACATTGCTCGTGCACTGCTTCCTAGAAGAATTGGTAGAGCATGTCAAATTTCCAATAAACCTTTGTTATTTTTTCTTCCCCATTTAGCCCAAAAATGCCTCCAGCCATGGTAATTTTCAAAAGATAAATCTAAATCTGTGCCACTTTATTTTCATGTGAAGCTCATGTTTATTCAAAAGGAAAATAAAGTTCAGTTTAAAATCAATTCAGGCTCTTTTTTCCTAAGTAGGCTTGCCATTATTCGACTCCCTATGGACATTGTTGAATCTCCCAACACTGTAAATATTTATTCTGTTGGAATATATCTGTAATGATACTAAAGAAAGAGGTCTTGTATGTTCAAAACAATGTAGAACAAATAATCACAGGCAGCATTTATTCCTATTGGCCAGAATAACAAGGCTACTTGCAATTGCCAGAATTCAAATTATTTAAATAAACCCCTGCTTCACTGCTCTGTATGCTTAACATTCTCAAATATTCATTACTCAGATATGGAAGTGAAGCAAATCAACAAACGTGCTTCTGGCCAGGCTTTTGAGCTGATCCTGAAGCCACCATCTCCCATCTCAGAAGCCCCACGAACTTTAGCTTCTCCGAAGAAGAAAGACCTGTCTCTGGAGGAGATCCAGAAAAAACTGGAGGCTGCGGAAGAAAGAAGAAAGGTAACTTCTCCCATAGGTTTTTAAATTCTCTCTTTTCTCCATCTCTTCCCTTCCTTCCTCTTCTCTCTCCCTCCCTCTCCTCCCTCCATGCCCCACATATTCTAGCAGAGGTTCCAGGGGACAACTGCGTGTGAACCTGCAACATCCCAGCATGTGTAGGTCTTCAGTAGACATGGAACCAGGCTAGTTCAAGTAAAAATTGCTGCTTTTAGGCTATTTAAAACCAAAGATTTGCACTAAAGAGCACTAAAAGAGCTTCAATACCTTAGTGCTCTTCTCCCTCTCTTGGATCCCCTATCACAAAAATTTCCCCGCCTTAGTCCTCGGTGCGTATCCAGGAAAACAGCCTTAGGTAACTTAACTCCACGGTTTGGAGGTGGGGAGGGGTGCAGGACTGGTGATTCCTCCTTCTCAGGGTCTGTGTCTCATCTCCAGTGTAGTGCATGGTTTTCCTTGAAACTATAGACCACCAGATCCTCCCCCTGAAATATCTCTGTCCAGATGCTGCTCACCTCAGGGTAAGGGCCCTAAGCTTGCCTCTGTCCTCAAGGCCTCACTTCTTGCCCTTGAAGTTGGTCAAGATCTCAATCTATTAGTATCCTCCTCTACCCAGTTCTAAGCCTTGATGGCATTTTTGTCTCTCTTTTCCATTGGTCCCTGTTTGTATTAGAGCACTTTTCTTTTGCCAAATCTCTAATTTTTCACAATTAGATGACTAAGAAGCCATGGGTATTAAAAATGGAGGGCACTCAGGAATCCCAAGGACTCTACACATAGAGATAAAAGTTATGTCTGAATATATCTGTACCAACCATGTGATTGTTAAAATCCATCCCACCAAAATGCTCTTGACCAACCCAAATGGAATTATTTTTAGGTAATTCATTCCTATATTGTATTTTCCACTGACTTTATCACAAAATCTTTTTAGAAGCACGTAGTCACTAAGAATATGCTCCATGCACAGTATTAATGGAAATGAAACTCTGCATTTATAGTAATTTTTTATTTTATTAATATATTGCCTATAAAAAGTTAGCCAATGCATTCAACACCTCTATGTTGGGTAGTTACAAAGAAAACAAAGATAGTCTTTCTCACTGAATTCTCTAACGGTCAAAATGTGCCGAAGCCAAATGTGTATGTGTGAGTATGTGTGTGTATAATGTGTGTACATATATGAACACACACATATATGTAATAGCAGATAACAAGAAAGACTCAAAGATTAGAAGACCTCAGATTAAATTTTCTGAGATAGAAAATACTTTTTGTTTTGATCTTTGTAGTTGAAAAATCTTCCTATGTCGGAAAAACATACGAAATACAATTTCAGTTTTCATTGAAGAGTGAGGTTCTCCAAACATCTGAGAAGTATTTCTTTACATGTATGTTTATTATATTGGATCAACTACTGTTATCATAGATGTGGATTTTAAAAGGAGGAAACTGAGCTACTAACCCAAGTCTATGTACAGGAAGTTGCCTAAAAAAATGTTTAGCAGGGTTTTTTTTGTTGTTATTTATAGCTTTCTTCTTATAGTAAAGCTAAATTAACTAACAGTTACAGTCCATCAAGACTGCTACCCACAGATATAAGTAACTAACTACAACAGTGAGGGTGTGTTGCATTCAAAGCAGTTCAAGTTCTCTTATAAGTACAGGTCCTAGGTTGTCATATAGAGATGCTGTGACTTGCTTAGAGTAGAAAGTCAGTGACTGAGCTGAGATTGAAACTTAAAGATGAAAATTCAACATCATGGTTCAGAATGTTGCTGGTGTTTCCAGGTAACGTATTTAATTTGAAGGATATTGTTAAAAGGAAAGAACAACACAGAGATTATCAAAATTAACTGGGTATTCTCATAAAACTCCCTGAGTTAGCTAATTACTAATTCTGGTAAGATTCCTACACTCTGATGATGATAAATTATCAACAATTACACATTTATACAATTGAATTGAACTAGAAATTGGCCTCATGGCTAAAAGACATTTACAAATATAATCATCCAGCATCATGACAAAAGGAAAAATCTTCTTTGAAAGCCTTTAAAATCAGTATTCCTTCACATGTCTGGTATTACTTCTTACAATTTTCAAGGCAAAAATCATATAGATTATGTCCTGGTAGGGTTTTAATTAGAAGAGATATAGCTGATTAACAGAAATTACCAACTTAGAAAAATCATTAATTGATTTTATTCTATTGGCTTGTGCCAACTTAATTAGTGCTCGTTAGAAGACTTGTTAATTCTCCTCGAAGAACCTCCAGCCAGTGCGTATGTGTCAATGATTACCTTAATGAGGACGTGCATATAACCAAAACTCAATTCAACTAGCTAAAACACAAAGTGGGTATGTGATTAAAATATCTAGGAAAGGTTACAGCTTCAAAAACACCTGGATCCAGATCAAACAGTACGGTCAGATAAACCTTTTTAGATCTATCATCGATCTCTTCCTGCCTCTAATTGGTTTCAAGACCAAGAAAGTTTAGTTTCCAACAGTCGCTCCCAATTTATTTTCCTCACAAATTAGCCACTGGAGCAGAAAGAGTGCTTTTCTTTCCCAGTAGTTCTAACAAAAGTCCTGGGATTGAGCTCCGTGTCCTGTCCTGGGTCACACGCCCCGACCCTGAGCCCATCCTTGTGGAGGAGGGGATGCTGTACTTTGATTGGCTAGCCTGGATCACATAACCTGCAGAGGCATTGAGGTAAGAATCCTGCAGAGAAATGTGGAGGAGTAGAGCCCTAAAGGAAAATTGAGGTGTTGTTATCTAAAAAGGGGGAAATGGAATTTAGACAAGCAGAATGAGAGATATCCACAATTTTTATCTGTAGAGGTTTAGCGTTAGTATAACAATTACAATAACTACTTAGCTCTCACACTATTCAGTTGGTAATTCTCCTAGCCTTGACAACATGAAAAAAGCAATCTCTGCAGCTATATAGACTAGAGCTATCCAACAGAAATATAATGTGAGCCACACATGTATTTTAAATTTTTCTAGCAGTCACATTTTAAGAAATAAATAACATGAAACAGACCTAGGTGGCTAGTAGCTACTGAGTTGGACATACAAATCATTAGACCAGAAAGATTTTAATGAACCACGGAGGAATTTTAGGCCTAACTTTTTCAAATTGGTACCAGGTAATTATTCAGTTCAACTTTACTATTTTTTTACATATTTTCTAAGAATTACATTGATATAGAAACTCAGAAAGTTAAAAAGAAACTGCCATGCTATGATTTCAATCTTTACATCATCAGAACAAACCCAGGTGAAGTTTAGGACCTACTGGAAGTAATAGGATCTTCTAAATCTCACACTTTCTTCTTTGGCTCCCTCAGCTCTGTGTTAACTTGTCCTCACTGTGGGGAGGGAACTTCCCTGGGCCCAATGTTCACCTGCTGGTCTCTCTCCTGGTGTTCAAGTTTATTATTATTATTTTTTTTGGTAGCACTTAGCACAATTAGTAAGCATATATTTAGCCCTAATACTCTCCCCTATTAGATTATAAACGCCATGAAGGCATGGATTGTGTCTTTTGTTATTAGTCCCTAGGAATAATTAGTACTACAAATATTTTTAAATGAATAAGTAAATGATAATTTTTAGAGCCAAATGTTAAAGTGGCAATATATCACTTGTTTTGACTTTTTATTTCATCTTCACATCCTAAAACAAAATTATAGTCAATACACTTCCAAAGGATATCTTCTGAAAGTGCACTAAATAAATTATACAATCCAAAGAATTCTTAGTCTGGGAAAAATCACTTGATCAACAGATATATTAAGAACCTACTATTTGACAGGTACTGTTCTAGCTAATAGAGATGCCTCATCAACCTTATTCCAATTGGGAAGAAATAGCTAATAAATAAGTATATAATACATCAATCACTTCTCGGCCTTTTGGCTAAGATCAAGTGAAGTATATAATATATCAGATGACACTGAATAAAGCAGGGCAAATGTAATTGATAGTGCTGGAGTGGAAGGCACTATTCATATAGTGTGATCAAAAAAGGTCTCTTAAATATGAGAATACTGGGGCGGGGGGAAAAGCATGAAGGAAAGTAGTAAGCCTTAAACTCTTCTCTGGGGGTAGAACTCTTCTCTGGGGGTAAAGAGATTAGCAAGTGCAAAGGCCCTGAGGTAGGAGTGTGCTAGGACAGTTTAAGAACACAAAGTTCAGTGTGGATGAAGCAGAAGGAGCAAGGAGGGACTAGTAGGAATTGAGGTCAGAAGGTAGCATTTTAATGACTTTGACTTTGACTTCAATTGAAATGGGAGATCACTGAGGAAAATAAAACCATTTCACTATTTGATGTGAATCACAGCATCTTTTCAGAAAAATATCTGCTTAAAAAAGCTGGGTGACTAGAAAAAAAATAGTCTTAGATAACTAGAGAAGACATGGAAGTGTTCTAGACTAAGAGAATGGCTCTGAACTAAAGATACTCAGAGGTGAGAATGCATAATGTGTGTTTTCAGGGCAGTGGGTAGACCAGTGTTACTAGTGGACTTGGTTTGGGAGTTGGAGACTAGTGAGGTGAGATTGTGAAGGGCCTTGAATCCCAGGTTAGGTCCTCAAACTGTATTACAGAAAACATAAAAAAAATCACCAAAGGCTTTCAAAAATGAACAGATGTCCAACCTAGCCCAGGGGTCAGCAACATTTTGCCCTGGGTCCATTTCCTTTCTCATAGTTACAAGTTATTAAAGATTCTGCCTATCAAACATACTATTAATAGTAGTATAATATTAATATAATAATATTAGTAAATTAATAGTATAAATATATTCCTTTTGCCATGGTTATAATCAAAGGAATCTATAACTGTCAATTAATATTTTTGATTATCATAAAAAATAAGCATTTTCTCACTAGATTGACTTAATTCTAACTCAGTGTGAATATAAAAATAGGCATAGACATAAAGGTGAAATATGATTTCTGATAGGACTTCTAAAACATAAAAAAAAGC